GTGGGAAGACAATGCTTTAAGCATTTTTACAGAAAGAGTGAGTGTCCAGAGAGGTAATTCCCATATGTTTATATGACAGAATTAGATTTGGTCAGAAATAGACTCTGAAATGTTCCAGAAAGTCTTCTTAAAGGGTTTCTCAGTGTTTCCCTTGGCACTGGTGAAAAGCAGACCCCAGTTTGGAACAGAAAGACAGTATGCACTCGCCGACCACATCACTGGATTCAACTGCTCGTTAACACAAATGTCCAGTCGGCCAATCGCATGGCAGTACGCCACTGCATTGAGGCATGTAAACATGGTCAAGACTACCTGTGAAGTTCACACTGAGCATTAGGAGGAAGAAAGGTGATTTAAGTGACTTTGAATGTGGCATGGGTGTTGGTGCCAGACTGGTGCTCTGAGCGTTTCAGAAACTGCTCATCTACTGGGATTTTCCTGCACAGTCACCTCTAGAGTTTACAGAGAATGGCCTGAAAAAAAGAGAAAATATCCAGTGACCAGCAGTCCTCTGGATGACAATGCCTTGTTGATGTCAGAGGAGGATGGCGAGACAGCTTCATACCAATAGGTAGGAAAAAGAAACTCCAACAACAAGGTATGCAGAAGAGCGTCTCTGAATGCAAGAGACTTTAAACATTAAAGTAGATGGGCTACACTACACTTGGTGCCCTTCCTGTCAGCTAAGAATAGGTATGGAAAACGTTGTCTGGTCTGATAAATCTCCATTTCTGCTGCAACATTTGGACAGTAGAGTCAAAATTTAGTATAAACCACATGAAGGCATGGATCCATCATGCCTTGTATCAGCAGTTCAGGCTGCAAATGGTGTGACAGTGTGAGGGTTTTTTTTTTCTTGGCCCACTTTGGGCCTCTTGGTACCAAATGAGCTTCATTTAAACACCACAGCCTGTCTGTGTATTGTTGCTGACCTTGTCCATCCCTTTATGACCACAGTGTACTATTTACTAAAGGACCAAGCTCAAATCATCTCAAACTGGTTTCTTGAACATCACAGTGAGTTCACTGTACTCACAAGTCATTCAATCTCAATCCAGCAGATTACTTTTGGGATGTTTTCAGCACTACTTTGAATCTGTGCAAAGAGGTAAGGCAGTTCTGAAGGTAAAAGGTGGTTAGAAATCAGGGCCAGTAGTGTGTTTGTAGTTTGTAGGATATATTGATCATCATTTCACCATGCTGACTTTTATCTACAAGCAAGCCTGAGACAAAGACTGCGATTATGACAGGAAAAGAATCTGGTGTCCTCTCTAAGGCCTGTGCCTGACCAGCCTGTATTTAAAAACTGATTTTCCTTTGGTGTAGAAAAGTCTCAAGTCCCCTGCCTTGAGTTCTTTCTCGCTCGTTAAACTTTGGGGCTGGGACAAAACGTAACTGTGGCATAAACAACTTTAAGTTCACACATGCAGCTTCTTTCGGTCACTTTTCACCCCGTTCACCACCTGCTGACTCTTTCACTCTCAGCCACCAACTTCAGGCAAATTAAGAGAATAAACAGAGTGTCCTTGGGTCCCCAGAGTCTATTCATCTTTCTTTTTCCCATTACACCACACTATGGCTGGCCTGGCAAGGTGCCTAGCAATCAACAATGGGTAACCAGCAGACACCCGCAAGTATGTGGCCTCCACTACAGCGGGATAAATGTAAAATATGTCGGCGCTAATTTGGTCATATTTACCACGGCTATATGACATGTTGAGATTAAATAGTGATGTGTGGTTGCTGGCTTGCCCTGGTAACAATAGAAGCCCCTTTGGGAGAGTCCAACCTGCACATAGAGGTTATTTATCATGTGTACAAGTCAAGGAAAATAACCTCATATATCATTTTTTACTTTAAATTAACCATAGAGGCATTTGCGTTTCACTGAGTGAGCAACAGCTGGGACGTAAGCAAGAGCAAGCGAGAGCTGTGGGTCAAGGCCATATTTTGATAAAACAGCTCAAATAAACTTTAGTGGGTGGGAGTTCTCATTCTGCCAACACCTTGGTGTTAGTACAGCAGACTAACTCATAGAAGGAATCTGATCGGAGCAATCATAAGAGACTAACAGGAAACATGAAAGCGTTTCAGATGGCAGCTCGCTGTGTGCGCCCAATCAGTAGCACACGAGGCTGCAGAGCGTCTTTCTTTTAAGAAAGAGTTTGACATTTAGTGTAATTTGCCTGTTTGCTCTTATGCCAGAAGTTCAGAGAGAAGATTGATACTCACGTCTATGGAAAGACATCCCTTGCCATGACAAGTAAATGCAGGGGGTACTTTTACTGTGAAGGGATAGATTTAAACCCAACCCACAATATTTTGCTAACCCAGCAGTGTTTGCTACCTAAGCCTAACTACACAGTGAGTTAAAGCAAGTAAAGCTCCCAGAACAGGAAACAAACTTCGACCTTGATGCATTTTATGAACCTGGATCTCGCCTATATTGCTGCCAACTGCTGCTTTATAAAAAAGGTGCAATCAAAAAGTTTTTCCTATAAAAAGATAACAACGTGCATTTCCTACCCCCTTCAAGGTTGTGTCCTTGGGAGCTAAAACACTGCTTCCAGTACTCCTGCTGCATTTCAATCACTGCCAATATATACAGGGTGTGATAGAAGGCAACAGGAAAAATCAAAACTGTTTTTATTCTGGGGAAACATTTGTTATATAGATATAGGTTAGTTCTGCTGCTGTTGTGCATTTTAAAGTGGGGGTCTACAGAGACTTGCTTTTGGAACCAGCCCAAGTGGCCAACAGAGGAACTGCAGTTATCTTTCTTTTTGAGCCGCGGAGCTTTCAGGTCATGTAAGTGCAAACTTGCAGTGGTCTCCTCTCAAAAAGGATGCAGCTGTCGGCAGACTGCTGACTCTTTGAATTTATCTGTTTTCTCTTTCTAAGGTAAGATATCTCCCACACGTCTTCAAAAAGATAGCCTAGTATATTTTTTACGGCCAAAGGTGAAAGATCGCCTCATGTCTGTCTTGAGGTCAGCGTACAAATCCTCCTGGGCAACGAGGTTGGCTACAAGTATGTGGCTTCTTCTTTCAGTGGATGTACTCCCTGTGGACAGAATAATCCTGTGTGTGTGTGTATTATTGGTGTTTAAAAGCTGGAAGTTCAATCATTGTCTTGGGAAATTACAGGAAAATCTCCTGCCACTGGCTGATTTTAAAGTACTGTCACACACACTCATACAGAGCACTTCATAAACACCTCAGCCTGAACTTATATCTAAGTTGTGCATGGCCAGATCATTTTCACCCATAGTAGACCATCTGAAAGAGCTCTGTCTCGCAGGCGACACCTCTGTCTGTTTCCATGCTGTGACCTCTTTGTTCCTTTTTCCATTTTTACTGTTGTCCAGATGAAAAGTTGGGGGTGTGGTGAGGTGGGGTGATTAAAGAGAAATACTGTTAATATGAAGGTTGTCTCCATTTGGTTTTCATGAAATCATGACTATAATAAAAGATGGGAGGACTTTCCAAAGAGCTGTCAGTTCACAGAGCCAGCAGGTACTTTCTACTCTGGGAACAGACACACGCAAGCAGCCTCCACCGTGGGAATATATGCATGATTTATATCCACTGTGGCCATTACGCAAGGCTGCAGCCCCCATGGGACAAGCTATTTAACCAGTGTAAAAAATTGGAGCAATTATGTTTGCTTAAAATGTTCTCACTTTAAAACATCATTTCCAGTGATGAGGAGGAGGCAACTCTGACTCATATCTGACCATCGGTGCAGAACACCAACAGTCTGTCTGCCATCTGAACCAGCAGCGATTTGACACCTGAGATGCTTTTTTTTTTAACAGCAAAAGCAAAAATATTAACTTTTAATGTGGTCTGTTTTCACAATATTTCATTTTTTTCATGGATGTCTTCTAGATTTACACCCCTGGGCATTAAGAGAGCAGCCTGTCTTTTCAAGAAAGAGAGCCTCAGGTGTGAAGGAAACTTCTGCTGCCGGCCAAGATGGAGCAGTCAACCCGAACTTACTGGACCATTTGTAATAGACCAATTTGGCTTTTCCTTACACTAGCAGAGGCGGAACAAACTCTCCTGAATGTCTCAAATTTGATTTTTCTACATGACTTCAACTTTCCTCTAACATTTAAAAATTTAACTTCACATTTATCATCTTAAATTTGCTGTCGAAGTGTTAGTGAAGTCCATAAAGTGCTGCATATGTTGATCCAAAATTTAAAAAAATATATGGGGATTTAATGAAGCTACACTCTCTGGACACTCTTATTAGGTACACCCTGCTAGTACTGGAGCCTCTTTTGCCTTAGTTGTTCATGGTACAGATTCATCCAAGCACTGAAAACATTCCTCAGATACTTTGATCCATGGATCCAAACCAAAAATAGCCCCCAACCATTGTTACAAGGTAAGAGGATCCATGTTGTTTACACCAAATTCTGACCCTATCATCCAAATGTTACAGCAGAAATTGAGAGTGATCAGACCAGGCAGCATTTTCCAGTCTTCTATTGTCCAGCTTTGGTGAGCCTGTGTGAACTGTAATCTGTTTGCTGTTCTTAGCGGACAGGAGTGACAGCCAGTGTGGTCTTCTGCTGCTGTAGCTCATCTGCTTCAAGGTTCAACATGTCATTCCTTTGAAATGCTCTTCTGCATTCTTTGGTTGAGCAGTTGTTTGAGTTACTGTTGCCTTCCTGTCAGCTCAAAGCTGATATCTCTGACATCAACAAGGCATTTTTACTCAGAGAACCGCTGCTCAGTATATATTTCTATGGCAATAGTGAACTCTTTGTTATACTTATTGTTATATATTATTATACTTGTTATTATATTTGCACACCTTTTATTATAATATACATATCCCCCCCTGGAGTCAGTAATACCTCACAGGCTTTCACACTTCTTTGTAAATTGGCACTTGTTTGAACCTGTCACATCTGATAGAGTTGCAAAGCGCTTGCGGGCCGCCACAGATCTACACAACACCGTGATTAGATGCCCATATGCTGCTGTGGTAAGCTCCATCTTGGAGCATCCCATCCAGGTCTGGCATTCTTTGAGTCAGAGGCTGCCAGAGGGGCGTGCTCGCAGAAAGTCAGTCCTTTCACACCAGCAGGGACACCGTTCAGCTGCCGAGATTCACCATGGCTTCATCTCTGCACCGCACACCCGTTTTGTTGCGTTTTATTCACTTGTCGTTACTGCTTGCTGGTGTTTTATGCGACCTTGAAGCAGAAGAAGATGAGCATGCCAAGCACACTTATACGGTGGATATGTTCAACGAGGCGGTGCCCACTGCACCCCACTTTGTCATGTTTTACGCTCCATGGTAAGTAAACGCTCGCTAAGTTTTTCTTTTTTTACACACGGAGTTAAGCAAATTCCCCAAAAGTACATTGTCTATGTGTTTAATATTCTAATTAATACTGAAAACACAAAAGCGTTTCTGATACTGGATTGGAGCAAACCGGCAAATTAGCAAACAAGCTAGTTAGCACGCAGGCTAGTTCGCACTAGCTCATTCCTTTCGCTCATTGAGTGATGTTAGCTCAGTTGCTAGCTAGCAAAGCCAAAACAGCCAAGTGCAGCTGAGCGAAATGAAACGCATTTTCTTCTTTTACGCGGTCCTCGCTGTTGTTTATGCTAACACTTCGCTAGCTGCCAATATTCAGTGTGAAGGTTTGCAGTTGAAGGCTGTACTGAGACAGTTAAACAGCTTTTATTCACAGAGCAGGAGTTATTGAGCCACCGTTCAAAGTTAGTTACAGGGCTGCGCTTACGTGGCACGCACTGATTGACTGATGTTATAACAGTTGTTGTAAAACTGAGGTTCACGGTCCCCCTAGAGGTCCTTTGCGGGTAACAAGAATTCCTAATGCCATTATTGTTATGCAGTTTAATTTGGTCACCATGCACTGCATAATGTAAACAGGGAACTGACGCTAAAGGCAGAGATTATGAGATTATGTGAGAGTTTTGTTTTTTTTTACACGTGATTGTTTAACTTTTTCCTTAATGGAGAGAGGTTATGTAAAAGTGAAGATTATGCTAATATGTTATGGAAATTGGTCTATATGTTGGTTTTATTATCAAATAACAGGAAGCAGAAAATATTGAAGCAGTGTGCCTGTGTCTGCATCCAGAATACAGTGTTCACATGCACTGTTATGAAAATATAAACTCTCAGGTTTCCCATAATGCATTAAATCCCCCCCTGTTTGCTTCTCTTATGTCAAGGTGCGGCCATTGCCAGAGGCTACAGCCGACGTGGAACGAGCTGGCAGAGAAATACAACAGCATGGACGACCCCCCGGTGTATGTGGTAAAAGTAGACTGTGTCCAGGACACCAAATTTTGCTCCAATGACCACGGCGTTAGAGGCTACCCTACGTAAGTACTAGACTCATACAAGCTGCTGTCTCATATCTTGGCCTCATCAGCTTCACCTATTGATGTCCGTTCGCTCCGTATTTCATTTTTGTCAGTTTTCCAGAAACACAACAGAGCATAACGCAGCAGCTGAAGCATTTAGGCTTAAACTCCTCTTAGATCATGGAAGTAAAAAGTCTTTTTCATCACTGATTGACAGAGGAGTGACACATTGACATGCATTTGGTGGAATATTTTGCTATTATCTTAATGGCTGAAACTTGGATGTTGCACCATGCACACTGTAACTGCAAATGCAGCAGTTTACTCCATAATCATTTACAGAATACCTGTATTTATGGTTAAAGTTATAGCTAAGATTTTCTTTAACTCTCTCGTCCAGCTGTAGATTTTAAATTATAAATCTGCCATGCCACGTCTCATGGAGTTGAATATATTGTCTTATGTGCAGGCTTAAGTTGTTTAGGCCCGACCAGGAAGCAGTGAAGTACCAGGGCCCCAGAGATCTGCAGTCTCTGGAGACCTGGATGCTGAAGACGCTCCAAGAGGAGCCTTCGGTTAGTGGTTTGGTGTTCATTCAGTCATTACCTCACGTCCTCAAACCAGTGCAAAACTGATGCTCATGCTTTTTGTTGCTGAATGTTTTGCAGGAACCAGAAAGTGAACTGGAGCCTCCTAAAGCCCCAGAGCCCAAACAGGGAATGTATGAGCTCACCGCCCTCAATTTCAAGACCCACATAGCCAAAGGTAAAGATGCATTAAAAGAGATGCTGTGTAGAGTTTCAGTTAGGCAACATAATTAGCCAAGCGACTTTGCGTATTTACGCAGCTGCATCCTTCTGTAACAGATAAGCCGTGTCTGTGTTGCCGTCATTTTTGATTCTGCTTTCAGTTTTCAGCCACACCGAGTTTCTGGATCTCACATTGGAGAATGGAAACACCTCATTAACTAGATTTACATAACTGACATTTCACCACCCGAGTACCCGAGCGTTAGTCAAAGCCAGCCGACTGTAAAAACCCTCGTCTCCCGTCGCCTCACGTTTCTGGACTTTGAGGCAACAACTGCAAAAATAAACGCCGCTCACGATAATTGTCTCGCTGAAATTACGCCTCTTGAGCTCCACTGAAGTTGAATGTTTTGGTTTTGAAGGAAAAAAAATAAATGATTTCTTGTTTGGAGATGAAAATCGGCAGGATATGACATAGGTATTTTTAAAACGGTGTTTATAGGTCCCCACCTTCACATCTTGGCAACAGGGCTGCAATAAACGTTGCTTAATTGGTTCATGTGAGCTGTAAGAGGTGTATATCCTTTTACAGTGTTGAGTTTGCAGTGAAATCAGCTTTCTTACGTTCATTTTCTGGACCAATAAACTTCAGCCTCGCTTTGGTAGATTTGTGTAAATGTATAAATTCCCTAAAAGCTGGTGTGCAAATGCTGCAAGGCTTTTCATGTTCTACCTTTCTTTCTTTTCTTCCTGCCTCAGGCGCCCACTTTATCAAGTTCTTTGCACCTTGGTGTGGTCACTGCAAAGCCATGGCCCCAACATGGGAACAGCTGGCCACCACCTTTGAGCACTCTGACGATGTGAAGATAGGAAAGGTGGGTTCAGATGTTAAAACAACAGAACAGATGGTCACTCACTACAATGAAAGTTTACTTTCTTGAATTAGTCCCAGGTCCCCTTTGGGCAAACATTATTTACTCTTAAATGATTCCTGTCAGGATCCTGTGTGACAGAACAGATGTTGATCATATAAGGAGTTAACTATTTGCATACTGTGTTATAAAAACAGACCACAGAGCCAGTGTTTGCAGTGTTGCGACATTCCTGTTTAATAACACAAGTTTGTGTATTTGTGAACTAGGTGGACTGTACTCAGCACTACGAGGTGTGTTCTGAGAATGGTGTGAGGGGATATCCCACACTGCTCTTCTTCTACAATGGAGAAAAGGTATGCAAAAGGTTTGGGACTAGCTCTGTGTGTATGCATGTGCTTACACACATTGCTTAGGTGTTAGGTCAATAAACAGTAACTGTCAGGAAAATCAAAATATAAAAGGTTCAAATGGATGGTGCCTTAGAGACCGGCTGAGGAGTTCAGTCATTGAAGATCAGAGCAGAGCTGCTGATCCTCATCGAAAGGACCCAGTTGAGGTAGTTGTATCTGACCAGGATGCCTCATGGGCATCAGAATATTTTGTTAATTCCAGATGAAATTATGTAGTTACACTTGCTCCAAAACAGTAACTAACTAGACTAAATTCAGTAATACAAAATATAACAAAATAGCTCTAATATATAAATATCTCAGTATATTGCACAACATTGAATATAGATGAAGCTGAAATTGAGGTGCCCTTCTTATATACTGTGCATTAGATGGAGGGATTGTACAGGGCGATATCCACAGGCAGGAGTGATTTCCAGTGTAGTTCAGTGGTGCATTTGGGTAATCTCAACCTGTCACTGGATGTGCTCCTGTGACTGGCCAGCACGTCTTGGAATGGGTGGGAGGTTTTGTCCAGCATTGTCCTTATCTTGGACAACATCCGGCTCTCCGACATCACCTTCCAGCTACGTCCCCACAATGTTACTGGTCTTATTGTTGGCGCCCTCAACCTGCTGCCCCAGCATGCAACAGCATAGAGTGGCTTCATGAAGTGTGTCATGAAATGATGGTTCCCACATTTCATCTTTTATCCCCACGTTGTTGTCGTCTGCTCTGCTATGTTCTACACTTATTTCAATAACTTGATCAATAATCAGCGACTACTCAAGAGCACAGTGAAGTTTAAAAAGTCCATGCAGCTGTAAGGTCGCTGTTCGCTGCTCAGTTGAACCGTCAAATGTACAAAAATGTATGATTGTGGAATTTGTATAAAATAGTTGTACAGATGTTGGGAGTTGGTGTCATAGGCATTTGTTTTAGTGTCATTCATTCCACTTGTTTAGGAGACGTGGAACATGCAAACATACATACGCTAAAATCATTTCAGTGTGATGATGATGATTCATACTAAGCTGCTTAAATAGTTACAGAGACAAATGTGAAGGCAAGTAAAAACCCACCAATGTTATCACAGTGAAAATGGCTAATGTTTTTCATCTGTGGCATTAAAATTCTAAGTCAGAGTATAATCGGTCCATCAAAATGGTCTCAGGAACACACTATATATGCCTTTGATAGCTGGCTTGAAAAAACATCCTGCTTTTCTTAATAACAGCGTTCTGTTGAGGGGAACTCGTTCGGTTCAGAGGTCCTAGGAAGAAAAATAACACATTTGATGCGTACATCCAAGAAATATTCAAAATATTGTTACACTGGTTACAGTAACTCTTGTTTCTTGTCCTCTTGTCATAGACAGAACAGTACAAAGGAAAGAGAGACCTGGACTCCTTCAAAGACTTTTTGGACAACCAGCTGAAGGCTGCACTCACCGAGGAGGAAAAGCAGGAGGAGCAGAAGGAGGAACCAAAGGCAAATGAGATCCCTGCTGAAGAGCCAGCTGAAGAGGAAGCAAAGGTGGGTGTTCACAACAGAGAGGTGTTGTACTCGGATAATATTTTGGTCTCCTCTTTTGTATTTCCTGTTTTGTATTTTTAAGTGGGGACATTTGTGTGCCCCGTTGAACTGGTGCTCAGAGACCTTAGATACACAGCAGCTGCACATTGCAGTGATCGTTGATGCATTCAGTGGGGTCCTGGCACTGTAGCTGTAAAGTTATTGTGATTCTTAAAGGGCTTGAATTGTGTATTTTTGACATTACACACACAGTGCACTTCTTCTGGATGCCATCACTGAGAATCTGCAGCACATGAGCAGCAGTTATTTCCTGTTGCAGTGAAACTGTTCAACACAACACATGTACACGCAGTAGTTACACTGTAGGTCTTTGAGCATGGCACCCATTCAGATTCCAGTTAGGTGAGTGACTGGCAGCTAAATTATGCCAGGATTTTGCATATCTTTTATTAATGAGATGATGTGGGCATTACTGGGGAACATAACCTGTGCACACAATTCAGAAGCTCTCACTCCAGTAACAGAATAATAAATACAATAATGCAATAATGTCGTCATGGTGAGGAAAAACACGGATCCATATAATTCCAACTTGTATTCCTGTCCTCTTTCTGTCTGTAGTCCAGTGTTTTGGTCCTGAATGAGGACAACTTTGAGGAGACTGTAGCCAAAGGATTCACCTTCGTCAAATTCTACGCTCCATGGTGAGATTATTGTTTAACATCTTTCTTTATTGTGTCTTGTTAATGCCAAATGAATCATGACGCCTCAGAAATTAGTTCAAGTATTAAATAATGCTGAACCTTTGTCCGCAGGAGAGGGTTTAAAACTACTACGAGTAAGATGAGTTGGAGTGTATCATTTTTAAACAAATATACGTTAAGTACCTGCAGATGTCTGAAGTAATTATTGTTCTAGTGACTAAAGTGATTAAACTCCTGATTTAAAATGTTGGCAGCCAGTGTTTGAAACACAATTTGTCAGTCAGTGAGAGTGATGTCACTCTTGTGTTATCCTGCTGTCTAGGTGTGGTCACTGTAAGAATCTCGCTCCAACATGGGAAGATCTTTCCAAGAAGGAATTTTCTGGTTTTACTGATGTCAAGATTGCTAAAGTGGACTGCACTGTTGAGCGCACACTCTGCAACAAGTACTCTGTAAGTGAAATTCTGTCCAGGCACTGAATGCTTTGCACTCGGAGACTGTTTCTGGCGCACGTACCCTTCTGTGAGCTTTATATTTCTGCAAGATTAAATGTGTTACAGTGTATGCAATAAACTAAAGTGGTGGATTATATCAAAGACATAAAATTCTATAACTGCTACATATTTTAATTAGATACTATGAAATAAAACCCTAAAGCAGATTTAACAGTCCTGGTGGTTGGTGCACACATGTTTTCAGCTTGGAGTGAAGCCATGGTTACCCAATGATGACAGTATGGTGATATTCTTTTTTTTTTTTCTGTTATCCAGGTGCGCGGTTACCCCACCTTGATCATCTTCAGAGCAGGGGAGCAGGGTGATGAGCATCACGGTGGGCGGGATTTGGAGAGCCTGCACGACTTTGTGATGAAGCAGGCACGAGACGAGCTGTAGATACAGGCTAGTCGGCGCTCTCTCTCTCTCTCCACAACTCTACTCGCTCACACTGCATATCTGGCCAATAGGACACCACCCTCTCTCCTACAAAAGCCAGACCCCTACTCTTCCCCTACTCAGTCATCCAATGACAGGCTGGCGCATTCATCTTTTTTTGGTATTCAAGTGCAGAATCATTCGGTAAGAGTGTTTGGAAGGTGATCGTACTTCTCATTGCTCTTGGTCAACCTTAAACCACGTGGCGACTGGTTGGGCCTGAAGATGAAGTAATATGTGCGACAACCACTTTGCAAGCTCTGCTCAGAACCAGAACTTTTCACAAGAATACAAGAAATGTTAAAACAGTGGCACTAAAGTTTCTACCTGTTTGTTTTTTAAATGAAGTGTTTCTGACGTCTCTGCCATTTGACTTCTTTTTTTTTTTTTCCCCGATGCTAATTTGTGTACATGAATTTTTTATTTTTTTGAAATCATAAGCCATTAGTTTTCTATTACTGTCACTCATGAGGCTGTAAAAGTTTGACTCTCCAATGTGAAGCAGAGTGTTAAGTTGAGGGTGCTTCATAGTCATGCCAGTGATGGCCTGTCTGACTTAACTCTCAGGGAAGAAACCACACAGACTGATGGAGAAGTCTGTGATTTTACTGAATCTGACAACTTTTTTTTCTTCTGTTAATCAAGATTACCAGATCCTGACTGATTGTTTTAGTCTCAGTGATCGACCATCCCTTTCTACTTCTAGCATTGGCCTGGACCATGTTGCCCCATCGCTCTGTTACTGATCTTTTGTGTTACTGCTTCTGTTTGGACAAGCCATCGTTGACGTGAAGTCTCCCCTAACATTATTAGGTGTCGATGTAAAAACGTGAATGTTTGTATTCTTCAGGCCAGGTTTATCCTTCCTATGTTAGAAGGATTTGGACACAGAAGGGTCGCTCATCGTCTGCACTGAAAGGTCGAACTGCTGCTCAGGGTGAGCTCAACTCCCATCGTATCCACGTTCTCACCGTGATTTCCATCTATTCTTACTGAAGCGACAGCCTAAGTTGAAAACATTGTATCGGGATAATTTAGACCTTTGGACACCAGAGCCATCGGCCTGAGTAAAATAGACGATGAGGTTCTGATTAGTTAATCATTGAAGTGGGCAGGAACTGGCAGCATTAAAATTCAACACAAATAATTTTCGGGGGGATTCGAAGGTGAAGCCTTAGTGAAAAAGCATTTGCAGTGTTTCAGTGCACCTTTCTGCAATTAACCGCCGTGTAAACTGCACCCACCTGTTAGGCAAATGCTCTTTGACCCAGGTTACGTGGAAAGCATGTGTTGTGTGAATGCAAGGCACCATTTATTGTTAAACCCAGGTACTCAAACAGTCTGAGACACAGCAGTTTTTTCTCAGTAAAAGTTTTTATGGATAGCACATGGTCTAAGCAACTCCAGTGACAAAGTCATGTTTTTTTGTTGTTGTTTTTTTCCTTTTCATGGGTTATAGTTTGTGCACAACCCACAGATTTTGTACAAAAGAGTGAATAATGGCAAAATGTAACATGAGATTTCGTAATAAATTTTTCTCAAAAATAACTTTGCATTTTCATTTTGCTCTTGCATCTCTGTTAATAACGTATGTGATTTTTTTTTTAATAAAAGGTGCAATAAATAAGCTGAGAATGTACAAGTATTTACAAAAAAACTAAACATGATCACAAATGTAAACAGCAGCTTACCAGAGGTATATTTTGTAATGTATGATTGGTTAGGCACGTAAGGTATTCTGATTCTTACTGGTATTAGTTTTTCATTAAAATATGCTCTAAAAGTACTCATGTCATTTAAAGCTCACAGTTACATACTCTGTTGGGAAGACGTTGCCACGTGACAGGTGACAAATTAAAGGAAAAACCAGGCACTGCTTTTCAGCAAAACTGCTCGAATGCAAAGAGGTGATTGATTGGTCGAAAATCTACCAACCTGGGTTGAGATCTGGTGACTTGAGGGCCACAGGCTCTATGAAAAGGGCAAAGCTGTTATCCTAGAAGCGGCCATTCCCTTCAAGATTTAACACAGAACAAACTGATCCCGCCAATGAATGCTTTAAAAGAATAGTGCGAGATACCCCCACTGTGCAGGGTTTGAGCATTCAGGTTTTTCCATTAATTTGTCACCTGTCCATATCCAAACACAGTTTCACCCTCGGGGTTGAAAAAGCAACCGGCTAATTTCAGAACGCTGACACAAACCGTTCTGCGGGATGTTTTTTTTCTCTACTATTTCATGATGGGCTGTCAGGAGTGGAAGCGTTTGTTAACTTTGTGAGAGCAGCGACATGGAAATGGCCATTTGTGGTATGTCCGGGGGATAAGGCTGTATTCTTCGGTTCTTTGGAGAAAAACATCAGTTTAGCCACAACATGCATCATGTTGAACCAGCCTGGTGAATCGCAGCTCAGCCCCAGCCTGGCAAATATTGACATGGAGGAGAGGAGGCGGTGGTGTCGGGGGGGATATTTGGAGCGGTCCACTGCTAAAATAGCCTGCGGTCACTTTGGTTCAGTCCATATTATATTTTTGGGAAGGCAAATATGGCTCGAGAAAAAAAACAGCAGAGGGGAGGAAGGAAATATGAGTGTGCTGACTCCAAAGTATCATTCAGTTTGTATTAGATGGTTTTGGTTAACAACATTTTGCACAGAAAAAAGAAAGTCGGGCTGATTCACACCACTTGGAAATATGACGGGGGTGTTAGCCCTGCAGTGTCATGTGCTGTAGGGAAGCTGTTCATTATCTGAGCCTCCTGCGAGAACTGATGCACCTTGCTCTTTTTTTCTATGTTGGAGAGAAGACGGGAAAGAAAGCAGCACTCTGACTGGTCCCACGACAGTTCAGTTTCACCCTCTCAGGGAGGGAGAAGGTGCAGTAGCCTCTCAGCCATTCATACACACACTTCAGTAAACACATAATATACAAACTTAAATGCTTAAATGCCTCCCCCCACACATACACACACAGTCATTCACTCAGTTGCAGACCCATGAAGAGAAGATCCCCGTCCACAGCTAACAGGAAGGGTGGTAGACAACTTGGTGGCTCAAGACTGGAACAAGGTGAAGTTGCCTATGGATGATCCACATGTGGTGGGGAATACTTGCTACTTGATATGTTAGCAGGCTTAACAATTATGGAAATGGAACACGGGCATGATCTTTCAGGCTGGACGTTCCTTTGCATGTTGAAGATTTGGGCGGGAATCCGGTGTCTACCTGAGGTCAACGTACACCCAACTTTGACTGAAGCACTACCAGTCTTCATCTGTCTGTCAGTGGCAGCCGCAGGCCCGCACCACCATGTTCTTGTATTTCTTCAGTATGACGTTGGAGTTGTCGTCGAAATAGAGCACTGAAATGGCGTGCAGCTTGGTGGGGGCGCAGCACGGCTTGGGTACGTTCTCGGGGTTCATCAGGTGCACCTGGAAATAATGAGAAAGACCTTCAGCCTCTTTATGTGTCACAAATCCCCCACACCCTCTTTCTATTATCAGAAAAAGTAGCAATTAGAAATGGATGATAAACTCACAAAGGACAGATTTAAAAATTGATTTTATTATATTTTTAAATCATGCCAAATGTCAGATTATTTGACATTTCTTTAATGGCCACTGGAGACTGGTTATAAAATCCCCAACCCCACGTGGCCCAACTTTACAGCAGATATTAAAATGGTTTGGACTCTCTCAGTAGCATCTAAATTAAATTGACTGTGTAGGGATGCTCTTCTTAGATCATTCAGTCACTAAAATTATATAAAGGTTGATTTAAGTGACAGGTAGACACAAATAAATGGAGGTATAGCCACTAGCTTTCTGCTAGCCCACACCTTGGCTCGAAGCGTACTCACAGCCCTTCCAATAAGGTTGTGCTTCAGTCTTAGTGAGTGAAAAGCTAATATTTGAATCATTTATTACTAAGCAATAACAAACATGTCTCTATCTGTCCACTGCACCTGTACAGCTTATAGATATAGATAGATAGCAACTTGCTAACCAAGCTGGCTATCATTAGCTGATAACATAGAACTCCACCCTCTCGTCTAAATATGGCTGACGTTATCAAGCTTGATTAGACAGTAGCAGTTATAAATGGTACTAACTGTACACGTACACATACCTGCTAATCTTTGTTTACCTATTATTGACAATCTCTTCCACAGTGTGTGTTTTGTCCCATCACCCCCAGCCTGGTTCTGCTGGTTTCTTTTTATCAAAAAGGATGTTTTTCCTTCCCACTGTCACCAAGTGCTGGCTCATAGGGGTCAAGCCAAGGCGCAATGATTTCTCTGTATGATTATAAAGTGTCTTGATGGGACTGTTGCTGCGATTTGTTGCTATATAAATAAAACTGAATTGAAGTGAATTAAGTTAAAGATTACTAAAATGCTAGGATGGTACTCAAGGAGCAAAAACTAATCGGATGGTCTGTCCTGCACAGACTACATTAAAAATCCTCCCAAGCACCAACAAACATGTCAGAGTGGTCCAGAGATTCAGTAACTCCAATTAGTATCGGTAGAAGCTGCTTGGCTATACCGTCTATGCTGCCACGCTCCTAAATCCTGCATCCAATTGGGAGTTATGAAAACACAAGCTATCATCTGTACAGTTGTTTAGAACAGGGAAACTCTTCACAGAGACCAACTTTTTTTGGATAAGACTGTATAAATATATATATTTTTAATACCATAAACATTTTAACATGGAAGTCTATGGGGACTGATTCCATTTGAAGGCTGCTTCAAGTGGCCACTAGAAGAAGAGCAGTTACTCCATGTGTGGATGCACCTCATTTGTCTCTTTTATGTTTCGACCGTCCATGACAAGTAAATTTAATGGAGTTAACTGAGCTTCACAGAACTGTAACGCTTTATATTCACCGATATTTATAACCCTAAGAAGGCCACGGCGACTAGATTAAAAATACACTGTCGAAACACTCTCATATGCTCCTGTGCTTATTTTTAAAGGTCATTTAGACACACAATAGACCACTATTATATCTCGTTGCAGTGTTGCTACAACAATCCTAAATCCACAGGAAAAACTGTATGAGCACCACCACAAAGTTCTGGCAGACATAAGAGACGGGCCTAAAATGACTTCTTCTTCATTGTGTTAAGAATACACACATACTTAGTGCGGTAAACCGTAGTGGGATGGTCTTACCAGCGTCTGCACAATGGCGTGGTTGGTGGCATTCATGTGGGCATTAAGGGGGAAGGAGCATTCTCCATCACAGTAGTTGGCTGCGTAGCCGTCAGGAGCAATAATCCAGTCCTTAGAGAAACACGTGAAATCAGTTGGTTTTGGGATGAACAGAAATGAACAGTTTTGTTATTATTGGTTCAGTACAGCTTCACTTTCCA